TCTCCTCTGCTTTCATTGTTACTGTTACTAAATTTACATTCTATGTACTTTGTCTTAATTTGTTCTGCTTATCCGGAATGCTTTAGATTTAAGTGTTTTTCTCTAAATCTCCAACTTTGTGTTAACTCATTCTCGAGTGTCATCCACTAGCACGATATCGTCTACAAAATGTATACACCATGGCACGTCATCCTGAATATTTCTTATCAACTCATCCATAACTAAAGTAAAAAGATAAGGACTTAAGGTAGATCCTTGGTGTAACCCTACAGTGATAAGAAATTCATTTGTCTCTTCAGTAGGCGATCTAACAGTGGTCACCACCCCTTCATATATGTCCCTAATCACATCAATGTAACATTTTGTTACCCATTTATTCTCTAACACCCACCATATTATATCTGAGGCACTCTATCATATGCTTTCTCAAAGTTGATAAACACTATATGAATGTCTCTTTTCTTTTTTTTATACTTTTTTATTACTCTCCTCAAAAGATAGATCGCTTCCATCGTTGACCTGTCAGGCATAAACCTAAATTGATTTTTTGACACCTCTATTATATCTCGCAATCGACGTTCCATTATCCTCTTCTACACTTTCATTATACGACACATTAGTTTGATTTATCTATAGTTGTTGCAATTTTGGACATCTCCTATATTTTTATAGGTTGACACTAAAATACTCTTCTTCTACTCATTTGGTTTGTTCCTAGTCAACAAAATTTTACTAAACAACCCAGTCAACCAAACAACTCCCTTTTTACCCAAACACTTCCAAGCATCAATAGGGATATCGTAGGGTCTTAAAGTTTTGTTTGATTTCATCTTCTAAGGTGCAATCTTCACTTTAAAGTTCCTAATCCTGCAATAGAACCGATAGTCTTAGCTTATCATATTATTGGCTATTTCTTCTTCTATTGACGTACCTTCATGTTCCTCATTTAATAACTTTTCAAAATAGTTCTTCCATCACTCCTTAATCTCTTCATCCTTCACCAATACCTTAGAATCTTCACTCTTGATGCACTTAACTTGATTAAAATCTCTTATTTTCCTCTCTCCTATCTTAGCAAGTTTGTATACCATTTTCTCTCCCTTCTTACTATCTAGTCTAGTGTATAGGTCATCATAAGCTTTCAACTTAGCCTCTCTCATTACTTTTTTAACCTCCTTATTAGCCAATCAATAGCTCTTAAGGTTTTCCTCAATTCTATCATTCTGCTACTTTTTAAAGCCCTTTTTTTTTTTTTTGGTCTTAACTACCGCTTGAACCTCTTCTTTCCACCACCAAGTTTCCTTAGAGTTGAGTCCCGTTCCTTTCGACTCTCCAAACACTTCCCTTGAGATTCTCCTCATACAATTGGCGATTGAGTTCCACGTAGTGTTAACATCATCTTTCAAAACCCAAGTACCTTTCTTATCCGTTTTATTCTTAAAATATTTTTAGTTTATTTCCTTTTAGATCCTACCATCTTGTCCTACGATGCCTACCATCCTTCCTAGCTTGGTATTGCCCTTTAAACATAAATCTAATACCAAAATTCTATATTGAGAGGTCAGGCTCCCTCTAGGAATCACCTTACAATCATTGCATTTTAGGCTCTTAAAGGTTATTAAATGCTCCTCCCTCTTATACATAGTATTGGCCGCCACCAGATCAGAAGTCAACGCAAAATTTAAGATACTCTCTCCAGCCTCATTTCTATCACCAAAACCGTATCCACCATGCACCCTTTCATAGCCTAGTTTATCTATGCCTACATAGCCATTAAAATCTCCACCTATAACCAGGTTCTCTCTACTATTCAGTTTATTGCAATGAACGTAAAGTGAAATTATCTTTATATTAGAATGTTTATTTTTATATTTTGTTCACTAAAAAATTATGCAAAACATATTATAAATAGAATTATTATTTACCATTATAAATAAAGGGTTTGGCTTTTCCTTCAGTCTGTGATTGGACTGGAGGCTGCTAGTGGGCCCGTGGAGGTTCATCATAGGTTCTGTTTCGATAATCCGAACCTTTAATGTGTAAAACTCGTTGAGTACTACATGCCTGTAAAAAAATCACGTTGATCGGATATTGATAGTTATGTGATTAAATCAGATTTCTGTCAACCATTTATTTTTTTGCCGTTTATTTTTTTTTATACAAAACTGATTTGATCACATAACTATCGATATTTTACCGATGCGATTTTTTTTCCAGACATATAGTACTTGACGAGTTCTACACATTAACGATTCGAATTATCGAAATAGGACCCATAATGGACCCCTACGAGCCCAACAACACCCTCCAATTCAATCTCAGACCGA